CAAAGCCACAGGGAGCTCCCATGTCTTGCACTCAACGCTCAGCACCGGCCAGGTACAGTGGGCTGAGAGAAGCCCCCAGCTCCGGCCTGCCCTCTGAACTTCCTTGCCTCCCAGGGGCTTGCATCAAGACCTTCACATTATCCAAACACCGGTTTTCTCGTGGTTGATTTTCTGTCTACTCCCAGAAGCCGTCTTCCTAAGAAGCTGAATAAAGAGCCACAGTGCCCCTGCCAACTAGCACTGCTGTAGGTCTGCTTCCACGTGGGGTCACATGAGAACATTTCTATGCCCAATAACCTCGTTAGTTCCCTTCATGTCATTCATAATGCAAATGAGACAGCGAGCGAATGGCCAGAGGCCCAGAGTGACTAAAGCTCAGCATCCAGAAAGTCTTACATTGCCTCTAGCTCTAAACTAACTTCCCTCCATAACAAGCACCATAAACTTGGCTATCAAAGCTACACATGCCCAGTCTTTGTTGTACAACAGGCAGCGATTTGTATCACTGGCTTCTATTTTTAGCATATTAATTAACTACTGCAACTGGTGAGGCAAGTGTCTCCAACTGGAGAGTGTGGCACCATTGTCTGAAGTCATCACCTCATCTCGCGCTATTGAAAATCATGGCAGTGACCCTCCTGCTGATATGAATTTAACCTGACATGCCCACAAAGGGATGGGGGGTGGTGCACCAATTTTGTGCACATGGTTCTCCACATCACCCTGGACCCTATTAGTGTGGAAAGAGCTCATTGAAAGAAAAGAAGCCACATTGTGCTGGGCCACCTAGAGGGTTGAATAGAAAAGGCTGAGGAAAAGAGCAGGCAGCGGAATAAAGGCTGTAATTAACATATTTCCATATTCAAGCAAAGCAATAACTACGTGAAATGTTTGTCAAGGTGCAACGAAAGCATAAATATTAAGTACTGTATCTGAGGGGATGCAGAACCCTCCCTCCAAGTCTCTTGAATTCCATCAAGAAATTCAAACCCAGCTTTTTACATGTTATTTTCAATTATAAACCTCCATCCCCACTTCCCCCATGACAACATGCCAAGTCCCGCCATCCTCACTCGGTTTTCACCCAGGTAAAACTGCCCCCAGAATTAAGTCAAAAGCTTGCCCTGAGATTTAAAAAAAAGAACAAAAAATCAAAATAAAAGGGAGAGAGAGAGGACCTAAACACGTGAAGCGAAAGCTTTTACTTTAAATTCTTGTTGGTCATGATAAACCGTGAATTACAGAGGGAATCTTATAAAAAGGACTTCTTACTTGACACCTGAAGCAAAGCTACGGGCTAAATCCTTCTTTCGGATCTATGTGTAACCTTGGTTAATAGGCACCCAGAGCCTGCACCGAAGGTACAGCTCTCATGCTAACTTTGTGGTGATTTATGCAATTCCACAGGAGTACAAAAGAGTCTCGTTAAAAGTCAGAGGAGCAGTGCAACAACATGTAGTCTACGAGAATCTGAGCACACGAACACTTCAAGGGAAGACACTGGGTTGTCAGAAAGCAGGACTTATTTTACCTTCTACTTCCAGGCAATAAACAATAAAACTGTCCCATCCCCATTTTGGTATCACCTTTTTCCTAAAGGACCTTAAAAGCAAGGGACAAACCTTGCACAACCCCACTGACTTCAGTGTTGGAAATATAAAAAGCTGATGCAAGGAACAGTGCCCTTTGAAACACAGTCACCTCTGGACCAGCCAGCCGGAGTCATCAAGCAAATTCAGGGTACCCTGAATCCACACCTTACTTTCAGACTGGAGCTCACACAGCCAGGGCATGAACACAGGCATATGCCAAGGATGTTTTTCTGCCAGTGCAGCACACATTAATCCATGGTCAGGTTCTAGGACCCTGTGCACCGCGGCCGAGCTGTTTTGCTGGCTCTCTCCTGATCCAGTGGACTTCACTACCTCTGAGCCAGGAAAATGCAAAGTTGACGGTCAGTCTAAAGCTGGAGGGAACTGGAGGCAGGAACTCAGAGAGGTCCTGCAAGGGGAAGCCCTAACTCGCAGCCAATAAATGAAAACTGCCGGAAGGAAAAGAGCACTGACATATCCAGGCTGAACGTGCTCGGTGTGCCAAAGCCAGGTGGGAACTCTACCTTCTTACAGTGACCCTTGTTACTGCTCTGCCCGCTGGTTGGGTTTTTTTAACAGCCAGTTTTCATCTCTGTAATTTG